AATGTTGTTTTTTTGCAGAGTCTCTGCCAAAAAATAGTATTTCGATTTGCTAAAATGAAATCTTCGCACTTTTTGTTATTTTTTTAAATTTTTGCAGAAAAAAAAATAGTTTGGAATTATTGAAAATAGTTTGGAACGCGTTAATTATATTTATATCTATAGTTTAAATTAATAGTTTTATTAATTTTTATGACATTTTATGTAAAGGTTTAGGTAGAAATTGAGAACGCAGGTTCTGTTTCAATCTTCAGTCCATATGGAATTTCCATTTCATGAGGCGACAGGCGAGTGGAATGTTAAATTTCATATCTTTCACCCGGAAATTTTTTATCACTTCACGGATGAAAACATTCCAGATTTGTTTCATATAACACCAAAATAAATCAATGTTATCGATTTTTATTGGATTAAATACAAAACATGAATACATACCTAAGTTGCATGCACAATGTTTAAAATTAATAGAAATCCTGCAAATGGCATTTATTTAACTGAGCATTGTTGTAAAATATTATTTGTAGTGATTTTTTCACCAGCCATTTTGCTTTCGCAGAAATTATGCATTTGAATTTAATTCCATCGGCGTCATTATACTGTAATTATGAAGACTTGGGTTGCATGAGGTACGATTAAGATACGATTAAGATTTTATTCCATATCATGTGATCATAATCATCCAATTAAAGACCAGAATTTAATGAGGTGTTATATAATATTCGTTATATTTCTCTTCTTTAACTAGCCTACAATTAAGTATAGTCTTATGCTTCCTTATTAGGTACAAAAATTTCATACACTAAACAAAACTTACAACACATTTACAATTAATTCTAAGATTTTCTTAAAAATTGTCTAATTTGTCTCTTTCTTCTTTTAGCGTTTTCTGTGGATACAAAGATCCGAAGCATGTCATGATATTTCCAGCTATATATGTCTCAGTCACCTTGTTTTTAGTTTCATCTTCATATGGAGGAGACCCCAACTTCTGTCAAGAACTCTTTGTAGAGGATGAATTAGATGATTGCAATACAACCCACTTAACCAATTTAGGACCCAAGACGGAAGACGGTATGTGTAACCAAACTCATGCCCATATGGCTGTCATATTGTACACCATATAAAGATATAGAGATTTCTTCATAGAAAGTACTCACACATGGCATTTTCGCACGCATTAATTTGTTTTCACAAAACCAACGAGGACAATAAAGTACATAAGCACTTCCCATGAGCATCTTTTTTATATCATATAGGTATACTGTGTTTGTTCCTGCATGGTGTTATTGATGTTGTATTCATGCACTGCGACAGGCGATGTAACTTCTCATCTTTGATATATCTGTCTTTGCTCTTGGAAAAATAGCCATACTTTAGGCCCATTCACACTTGCAATTTGTCCCGCGATTTCATAGGCGCGATTCCCTTGTTTTGATGGATGTGAACGAGCGAATCAGTTATGCATGGATATTCAGACGAGGATACATATACTCCGAACATTGGTAACTCATCTGCTCTTTAACATGCATCAGAAGAACAAAATTGCATTAGAAACCGCAGCAAACATATTGCAAGTGAAAACACGGCTTTAGCAACGTACGTATCTAAGGATTGAAGCACTCGACTGTATCATCGGGATTGGCATGTACGAGTTCACGAACAAGAAATTTTAATTAATACGACACGACGCAAAGCCGATGGCGAGGGCAGCATTAAATTTCCAGTTTCTTGTTCGTGAAATGTTCTTGTTCTAAATCCCGATAACACACGAGCAAAGAGTGCTTTAAATTAAACTTTTTGATATTCAATTTGAGTAAACCATGACCCAAACATTTGCGAGTTAAACTTTGTCCATGACAAGAAAACAACAAGCATTCATTTGGAAACAACGAGCATTCGTATTGCTGTTATGTTGAAAGAAAATCTGATTTTTCGGTGAAAAACAAGAAAGTTTGACATTGCGGGGCTCAAACAAAGTTAGGCATTGAATATAAAAGCACAGTGTTATTCTTTTAGTCGAAGTTAAAATATACAACACAAAATTTTGGCACGCTCCCATTCTCGTACACAGAGCCCTTCTTACGCGCGGTCAACCGAGCGCGACGAGGGGCTCTGGCCAAATCCATAACCGGATACCATAAAAACATGGTATCCGGTTAAACACTGCGCATGCTCAACGTCAATCGCGGATAAACACTTCGGTTTTGGGGTTTTCTTGTTTGTTTCGTTTTGAAAATTTTTCTCCAGGATTTATATATCCCTATATTTCCCTCTTCAACGTTGCCAAAGCAGTAATGGCTACGGATACGAAGACGAGAGATTGTCTCACTATTTTATATTCGATTTTAAGTCGCTGTTGTACAGATTTTTAGACTTTTTTTGTGTTTTATTAAAATTCAACAGTCATACATAGGACATACTATACTGCAAATAATTTCAAAATTGTAAAAAATCGGTTTCTAGGAAGAAAATAGTCATCACAATTAACTTCATATTCTGGCTGGCTTTAATATTTTCTCTTCAGATGGCACTTCAGTTTTGAACATGTAACACAGATTTGTTTGATTAACATCACTGATTTGGAAATACGATCAGCATCTGCCATAAATATGCTGACTTTTTGCTATGAGAACATCACGTCTCAACCTGTTAATTTCAATCAACTAATTGATTTAAATAAATAAAATTAGCGACATCTACCGCTTTTGTGGGCGATTATCAACAACAATCTTCCCAACTGCTTCGTATTGCTGTTCTTTCAACTTTAATAATGTCTTTTCTCCCAATTTTCTCCAAAACGAAACCAACGCTTCATGGAGCGCTTGATTTTTATTCATATTTTATACAATAAACCATATATTTCGTTGTGGCCAATCAGAAGCCAGTTTGATATGGATTTGGCCAGAGCCCCTCGTCGCGCTCGGTCGAACGCGCGTAAGAAGGGCTCTGGGTACGAGAATGGCACGCTCCTTGCAGACCGCCCAGACAAAAACAGTAGGCAGGGACAGAAACTCACGTTCAATAGCTTCATCATTCGTTCCACAATTTGGACTCGAGTTCTCGCTCCATATATATTATTAACGGCTTATTCACCTAGCGTGAGGTCTGTAC